ATAACTAAACTCATCTGTGAAAATGTTATTTAAAACTATAACTTCTAGGGTGACTGTGCAATACTACTTTATAAAAGCAAAAAACCCATACAGGCTTGGATATTCCATGCAGATAGAAATAAAGTAACAGAGAAAAAAATAAATTTGACTAGTTTCACTAATTTTTTGTGCGCCGCAAAAAATTTTAAAATAAGATTTTTACCATATCCTAAAAAACCTTGTTTTTTTAAATAAAAAATAAAAATAACACAATGAGAATATATATTTTTAAAATCTATTATAAATTTTGATTACAAAACAGTTAAAAAAAAATCCAAATTTTTCATGTTTTTTTACCAGCTTACCACCTTAATAACTAATTCAAGTTTTTTTTTTTGAATTGAAAAAAACACAACGTTTTGACGATCAGAAAGATGATAAAAATAATGAAGAAAAAAAAAAGAAAGGATATTTTTAAATATTATGATGAGACAAAAAATTAGAAATAACTTGAATAATAGCAACTTATATAAAAAGCAACAATAATAAAAATAATTAGCAACAAGACCACACACACACACACACACACACACACACACACACACACACACACACACACACACACACACACACACAAAATGCACGTCAACATAAACAATGCACAAGTGTAAATGTCAGTATAAATTATGCACAAAATTACACAACAGTATAAACAAAACATATAAATACACAACAATATAAAAAATACAAAAAAACACGACGTTATAAACAGCACATAAAAATACACAACAGTATTAATAGTCCATACAACATAAATTAATAAAACTTAAAAATGTTGTTTTTGTTTTCTTTTATTAACTTAAAGTTTTTAAGTTTTGAATTTATCACGAACAATTTTATTCTTTTAACTTAGCGTTTAGTTTTTCTGTTTATTTGTTTTTCTTCAATTTTGGTTTTTCTGTTTATTTGTTTTTCTTCAATTTTAGTTCTTCTGTTTATTTGTTTTTCTTCAATTTTTGTTCTTCTGTTTATTTGTTTTTCTTCAATTTTAGTTCTTCTGTTTATTTGTTTTTCTTCAATTTTAGTTCTTCTGTTTATTTGTTTTTCTTCAATTTTAGTTCTTCTGTTTATTTGTTTTTCTTCAATTTTTATTCTTTAATATTTTAATTGTTTTCACTTTATTATTTTTATTTATTTTTCTTTGCTCTTTTATCTATTTTTCACCTTTTCACCGGTAAACAAAAAATGCTTCCTCCTCAAAAGTTCAAGCTTTACTTACCAATGCCACCTATTAGCGTTGAATCTCGGTCCTCTTCGTTCTGAGCCAGAACTCTACCACTGCGCCCCGGCAGCCCTCAAAGTTTAAAACTTATATGATCATAATTTTGTAAAACATTTATCGCAATAACAGCATCGTAACGATACACCAAAAGTAACTTAATAATTTGGTAATAAAACCTTTTGATGATTTTTTATATTAGTAATTAAAAATTTAATTGAATAAAATAAATCAATAAAATAAAAAAATAAATATAATCCGAGACTTTTTATTTTTATTTTTTTTTTACGTGTTTTTTATACTTTTTATAAGTGTTGAACGTTTAGTTATAATTTTTTATCATTCTAATTTTTAAAAATTTTTAAAATTTATCATTCTATTCTTAATGTTTTTTAATATTCTTAATGTTTTTTAATATGTTTAAAGCAATAACAAAAAAAAGTAAAATAAGAAATGCGTTTCTGTTAGATTAGCTAAAACCAACGTACATAATACGGTATTATGTTTTAGCTAATCTAACAGAAACGCATTTCTTATTTTACTTTTTTTTGTTATTTTATTATTTTTTGTTATATTATTAATACCATAAATACTTTTAGATTGTTTTGAATTCTACTTTTTGATAATTCAATATTATTTACGGGCCGAAGTTATTTTTCTTTGAATTTATACAATAATTCAAAATATTTAAAAACTGATAAGTATTAAATATTTATATTAATAGGACAGAATTAGTGATATATCAAAATTAAATTGAGGGATGAATATTATTCGTGCCTAATGTAAACAGACAGTTAAATCTAATAAAAAAATTTTTAACCAATAAAAAATTTTTCTAAAATAAAAAGAGTTTTTCTTTCTTTTACTGTTTATTGATTTTATTTTTCAGACAAAATCTTAAATTTTCAAAATTTATAATTTGAAATATATTTACTGTAAAGTGGTATAAGTAGCAACAATGGGGTGAGAAGAGACAGAACATTATATACATATAATAATGAAAATTTACTTTTAATAATTAATTTTTTACTTTGTTAACATTTAAAGTTAATATAAAAATGTGTTTTGTTTGTTTGTCTAGACGAGGCGTTAGTATTCTTTTAAAATTAACAATCAACTTCATTATGCTGTAATTTGAACCTTGTCCGAACCTTGTCTGGTAAGTCAAACTAATTTTACGAAAATATGTAAAAAAAAATTTAAAAACTAGTTTTGACGTTTAAACGAAGTTTTACGTTCAAAGTAATAGTTTTATCAATTAAATTTTTGTAATTTATAAGTTTTTTAATCTTTGAGAAATATCTAAGTTTTAAAGTTTTTGTTTTATAAATTTGTGGGGTGAAAAGAAACGCAATTTTTAAGTTGTTTTTATCTACCCCACAAACATCAAAATGTTTTATTAAATATTTGTATGCTTTAGTTTTTGTTCTAATTTATACTGATATAAATAATCTTTTCTTATTGTTGCTGTACCTTCCTTAGGCAGACCTAACTAACCATGTTTTTTTTAAAATTGCAGTTAATAAGCCGTGAATATACAAACCAGTTGTTGGCACAGGATACAAAAAACACAATTTTAAAGCTATTAAGAATGCCATATTTGACCTACAAAATAATATGAATATACAAAAACTTATCTTTGTGTGTTATTTTTAAACACAAAGACCAATTTTCTGCAAGAATGTGCCAAAACCTCAAGCTTTTGAAAGGTGGAGTAACGCCTCAAAAAAATCAATGCTTATTTTGACAAATTGTTAAAAGAATTAAAGACCTTTTTCAAATACTGTAAATTACGACGAGACTATATTGACTAACGACCCGAGAAAACGTAAAAATCAAGGAAAGGGACAAAATGTTCAAATGAATATTAAATTTGTCGAAGACTTCCACATATTTCCAGTTTTCAGCAGTTGTAGATGACACTATATTACCATCTTATGTGGTTTACAAAGTTTTACATTTACAGAAGGAAGACTTAGAACAGTACGATAAAATAGGATAAAGTCTTGGTGGTTTGATTTGTTTTCCTTTAAGGGCTCGGTCTTAATTAGAAATATTTAACCCTTCCATATTTTAAAAAGTCTTAAGAAAATAAATTATTTTATCGGAGGCAACTTGACATCGCATTTATTCATGGAATCGGTTTGATTGTGCAAAACCCAATGATGTGAGTTTCATATTCCTACCAGCGAATTTAACCCATCTAACTCAACTATTTGATGTGACATTTTTCCGATCACAAAAATTGTATGGCAGCAACTAATGGAAGAGTTTTAAATGGGTCTAGGAAAATATGTAGCAACTATTCCAAAAGATTAGTTTTCCATTCCGTTAAAAAAGTTGATCCGTACTATAAGAAAGAAAATGTTGTTGCTGGTTTTTAAAAAAACGAGTTTCTCCTTTAAACAGAAATAAGGTGTTATCAATGCTCCCATGTACAAGTATTACAAACAAAAGCCAGAAAATTAAAACTCTGCAACAGACTGATACCATTGTCAGCAGGAGAAAAAGAGCAAAATTTACCTCGGAAAAAAGGGTTAGAAGTGAGGACGTTGATAAAAAAGATCATCCACAAACTTAAATTGTTAATTTTTAAAGTGATCTCAAAAATAATGGTTTTGTAGACTTTCATTTTTGAAACAAATGTTGCAAACAAAAAAATTACAATGACTGACAAAAAACCTTTGATCTCCAGAAAAGATGTGATTTAAATTATGTCCTCGCCAATTCTGATGCAAAAATCTCGTTTTATAAGCATGTTACATTTTAAAGATAAAACAACTAATATTACAATTTATTAATATTTTACTAAATGCTGTATGTCATTTTATACTATCAATGGTATATATGAGTTTTTTTGTTTATTTATTAAATTTATTAAATTCATAGAACATTGAATTCTTCATTATTTCATTTCAACGAAGGTTTAAAAAGAAAGAAACATGATTTTAAAGACCTGTTTCTACTCACTCCATTCTGCAAGGCGAGTAGAAAAAGGAAGTTATTTGTGTTTTGACAGATCTGTGTTTTGTGTTATAACTTGAATTTTTTACTTAAGTTGTATAGGAAAATTTTATAGAAACTATTCAAAAACTCATTTCAAAAGTTCATTTAATCTTTTCCGAATTTAATTTAGATAATCAAAATTCATTTTATTTTCAAAATAAACTTTTTGAATGAAAATTGAAGTTTTTGTTTAAAAAAGGTTTTGATTAAAATTAAAACTAAAAGTTGACGTTTATAAGTTTTGTGTATCAGTTATAGCATAATCAAGCCTTAAAAGCCGGATTATCTAACAATCCAGCCTTAAAAGCGATGTTTTACTTGTAGCAGCTTTTAATGGTTAGTTAATATAATAACCACTTTAAAACTGTGTGATCCACCAGTATAGTTTATTCCTTAGTTTCATCATTTCTGCTAATTTTTAACAAAGAACGTTAATTATTTATTAATTATTTCTTGACATCAGTTAGTAATAATATACAGAATAAATTATTTAACAAAATGATAAATAATAGTCAATGATGATAGTCCTAAAAATATTTTAATATAAGTTTATCGCTATCTTATCGCTTAACTATCGCTAGCTAAAAGTGTCAACTTCTATTAAAAAAATTTTTTAAATATATTTATATATTTTCAAACAATTTTTTAGCACAACCCTTATAAGAAATATAATTTAATAATTAAATAATACTACGGTATTTTACAGCTATAATAATTTACTGAAACAAAAATTTAATTTCAATTTTATGCAAATAATACTAACTAAAATAATAAAATAATAATTATTAATAATTCATATTTTCACCAGTCGTTGCTTCGTTTTGAAAATGAAGGTGAAGATTTATTGAAACTAGATTTTGTACGAAATGGATTTTGACTATTGCAGCTACATAAAATTTTTGTAAATGCTTTTCGCCATCTTTGATTTAAAATAACGTATAAAATAGGGTTCAACGCAGAGTTGGCGTAATGAAGTATTTTAAAATATTTTACAAGTACTTGGTTAAATCTTTTGTTTGCTAGGTGAATCATGTTTAGTGACATGAAAGGTGTCCAAGTAATTATAAAACAACTGAGTATCATCGATAGAGTCAGCGCGGCTTTTAGTTCCCTTTTTAAATGACGCGTTGAACCTAATCCACTAATTACATGCCCGTTGCCAGATGATTGAAGACTGGTATTATTTTTAATATCTTGGATTTTATTTTCTGTTTTTAATTCATCAATAACCTTGTTTTTAATAAGATTTGGTGAATCTTCTGTTATAAGTACGTCTCGATCACTTCTTAATCGTACAATTGTTCGGTCAAGACTTTTTAATTCCTTTGCGTGTTTTTTAGCAACAAATCCCATTATTGTATATGATATAATCATGACCGCTACAGGAAAACCATAAGACACAAATACAACAGTGATAGTGAATATTTTTGCGGAATCACCATTAGGGTCATTGAAAGCCATTCCAGCAAGTGTGTAACTCAGCATTAATAGCCATGTAATACAAACTGAAACCCAAGCAGATTTTCGAGTTATTTTTTCTTGGTGAAAGTATGGTTTTGTGATAACCATAGCTCTGTCTACAGCAACTAAAGCTAAAGAGTATATTGACACTATACTTGGCATCATATCTCCCACGTAGTACATATCTTTATGAACAAAACTTACATTAAATACAAAAACGCAAATTGTCAGAGGTATTGAAAATAATGCTACAAGTAGATCACTGGCAGACAAAGATAACATGAAAACATTTGTTACTGTTCGAAGGGAATGGAATTTGTAGTAGCAGATAAAAACCACAATGTTGCCAAAAGTTGCCACAAGTGATATCGTTAAAAATAAAAATAGATCAAACACATTTATTGAATTGATAGAAATGTCATTAGTTTGGTTTAATTGTGAACCATTCATCTTCTATTTAATTCTAAAATAAACGTGAAAAAATACTTAATTCTCATTAAGTTGCATATATTTTTAGTGTTATCATAGGTGAACGCAGGATAATTTAATGTTTCCAATATGATATTTTCAGACATTATAACTACTCCAAATTTAAGTATGTTCATGTTAATTAAGAATGTTTTATAAAATATAAGATTGATTGGGGCTTGGCAACAAAATGCCTCAAAAGGTTTTCAGTCCCTATCCCAAGTATGAGGGTAATAAGTTAATAAAATATTTAAGAGATTAAAAACGTTTTGATGAAAATGATAAAAATATAAATAAAGCTTAAAAGCATCTTGGTCTTTAGCTTTGAACTTTTATCATAAAATGGCAACCAAGAAAAAAGAAAGACAAAGTATTTATAAATCTTTTATAGACAACAGCATCAACCAAGTTTTTCATATTTATTTATATATTAGTAAGATGAAAAGAATGTACATTAGAAATAGAAAAGTTTTAATATTTAAGTATTTTTCCATGTATGTATAAACTAAAATAAAAGATTATTGATAGGTGAAATTTAATATCTATCCACCTATCAAACTAAATTTAGCATAAGATAGTAAATTAAAATATTTTATAAACTCATTACACTTACAGGATCTCAAATTTTTTGGGGTGAATATATTCCCTGGCCACGATCAACACAATTTTACGAAAAATATTCTCATTTAACATGAGCATAAAATTACATAAATTTTGAGTTTTTATAAAGCCTGAAAGTGTCATTATAAAAACATAAAAAAAAATCCTGGATCCAACTCTGGTTAAAACAATTTATGTGTTTTTCCTGGCGTTTTGATGATATATGTCATATATCATAAAATTGGCTAGTACAATCATAATCATATTTTATTGTGATACCGAGTCATCATATTTTATTGTGATACCGAGTCATCTTAAATTATTGACAAGTTTTAATCAAACAAAGTTGTTATTTTTATATAAAGAAAATTTTTATTATCTAGTTAAAATACGATTTAAGATTCAATAGAAATTCCAATTAAATGTTCATTTAACATTATTTCAATGTAGTTAAATAAATTTCTTTTTGTGGTTTTTCAAGGTACTTCGACTAGGTTTAGCACAACAAAATAAAAATTAATAAAAAAGTTTACCGGTGCTTTCACTAATGTTATTTTTATATTCAGAACAAACAGATTAATGATTTTACACTCAATCACTTATACCCAGTGGACACGGATGTAACAAAGACGTCTTTTAAACGTCTTGTACACGTTTTGGACGTCTTTTGAACGTCCAAAAGACGTCTTTTTTAGGTCCGGTGCCCACTGGGTAGAATCTTTATATAATTTATGGTATTTTGCTTCAACTCACAAAAAGGTCATTTTAATTGCATGATTTATCCAAGATCATTTTGCCCTGTAAATTTCCTCATCTTTTTTTGGTTAAATAAACGTGCGTTAACTTTTTACTATTTTTTTCTATTTTTACTTATTAAGATGTTTGTTGTTTTTTTAAAAAAAATTAAGTTATTATATTTATTACATATTATCAGTGGCGAACGCAGAATTTTCTGATGCCATTTATATATTTGTTGTTTTATATATGACACCTTCAGGCAGTGTAAACTCCAAATTTATGTAAAACTATGTAGGTTTAACTCCAAATTTATATAAAATTATGTAGGTTTATGTTTATCAAATGAAAAATGAGAAACTTCGTAGGACGGAGCTTCATTATAAAAAAATCTTACACTAATATCAAATTTCTCTAGATTTTGAGTTTTATCTTTTAAATAATTTTTGTGTTTAAAAGTTGTTGTGACTTTATAAAACTTACGACCCCCTGATTATTTTGGGGAAGATAGAAAATAGCCATAACTTTCAAAATCTAAAAGACTATTAGCTGTAATTTAAAACCAATCAAAAAACTTAAATTTAGTATAAGATTGTAAATGAAAATATTTAACTTAGCTTAATTATTTTATTGGGGTTGGGCTGCAAACTGTTTAGATATATTTGTTCCCAGGTTCCAATCACAATAATTTTTTACAAAACAGCTCCTATTTGATATAGGCATGAACATATCAAATTTAGAGTTTTCACGATGCCTGAAAATGTCAAGTCTAAAACATCAAAAAATCCTGCATCCCCCCTGGCTGTATATATATATATATATATATATATATATATATATATATATATATATATATATATATATATATATATATATATATATATATATATATATATATATATATATATTGTAAACATTTTCATTGAACAAATATGATAAATATATGTATTATATTTATTATATTTGTTCTATGAAAATGTTTACAATTAAATTTAAACAAACTTATAATTTAAATCATAAATAAAAATAAACTTATTTAATAAATTTTTTTTTATAATTTTTACATTTATATATTCATTTTAAGCAACAATTCAGAGCATTGCTTATGTATTTATAAAATTTATAAGAATTAATAAATTTTACTAGAAATTTTACTTAAAACTAAATGTTTGTAAATATAACTATTTAAATAGTTGAAAGAATAAAATTTTTCTTAATTCGTTATTAATTTTTTTGGCTGCAAAATTTTCATTAACTTTTCAAAAATTTATGAAGATATCAAAATAGAAATAAAGAAAATTAAAAAAAAAAATGTAATTAACAAGTTTTAAGCAACGCAGTGTATTTAAATAATATGATATTTGTTGTCAATATATTAAAACGAAAAACAACCTTCGAATGACTTTCTGCATAACACGAGCAATCTTTAAAACACGATAGTTTTCCAAAGTATGGCCGATGGTTCACACGTTTAACATTTTTGCGACGAATACTTTCGAGATTTTTTAAGAACTGTATAAAAAGCTTCATAAATTGCTAACATGATATTTAATAAAAATATGCTACAGTTAGAGTATAGGTTTAATTGCATTTTTATATTATAACTTTACTCAGCTTGTCATAATAAACCCACATAATGGCTAATTAAATTATTGGCTTTCTTAGAAAAATTGTTTTATAAGTTAACAAATGACATTTATTGTTCAGTACAGATTTGTAAAAATTGTAAGTTATTTTCAAAATAGCTATTTAAAAAAGTTACGAACTATTGAGTACAGCAGTTTGCAACACAAACTAAAAAAGTTTAATTCTGTTGTAAATAATTTTTATGTTATTGAAACCACGACGACGTGTTTATGATTATGTTAATGAATCGATAAAGATTATTTTTATGTTGATTAGACGACATAGATTATTTATGTGTTAATGAAACAATGTATTTATTACATGTCGTATTTATATACTTGTAAATCCCAAGAAAAATTTAATTAGAAATGCTTAGGATATGTGCGCGATATTTAATTCGCCGTCAATGGAAATGTAATTGACATATCGCGTTTTAACAAAATAATTTTAATTATAACTTTTTTTTAAAATGACGGGGGAAAAAGTGGATTTATTTTTGTTACCTTTATGCTATTTAGAGATATAATAAAGACAAGTAAAATATTTTTTGATGGCAGGGCATTAGTTTTTAAATAAAAATTAAGATATTTCATCGGCTTTATGCCGTACCATTGTATTTATACTTCAGGTTGTCATCAATGCAACTTTTAAATTTTGCAATTAAATGCGTTAACCTCAGCAAATTTTGCCGATTTTAAAAACATTTAACTTTGTTAAAAAATCTGAATTTTTTAACTGTTCTTCTGATGAAAAAATTTCTTGTTTGTTACTTTTATTTTGTTATTAAAAAGAAATATTGATAAAAGTATTTTGGAAGAATTCCATTTTGAAGTTCATCTTTCGGCACGCAAAACTAATGCACTTGCTTAATTTATTTAAATTTAATCTACAACGGAAAAATCCATGAAGCTCGGAAAGCAACCAATCCCTGCTATGGTAGAGGATATCTAAATGGTAGAGGATATCCAAACAAAAATAAAAAAGAAATAAAATAATTGGCACATAGAGTTAAGATAATAACATTCTAAAGCATAATAATAACATTCCCAAGCGAGAAGCAGAAGTACCGATCATAAAGCTTTTTTTTGAAGTGAGCCAAAAAATCTGTCAAGCTTTTTTTTGAAAGTGTTTATGTTGACAATATCTGGTACATTTCTATTAAAGGTAATGATATCAGGTGGTAGCGTATTCGAATCAACTTCCACATGGTCACATAAAAAAGTTTTGCGAGCTACTTGCGAGCTTGTTTGTTTGTTGTTGTTGTTTTTTGTGTTTGTTGTTTTTTTTAGTAGAAAAAAGATAACTTGCTCTTGCACTATTGCAACAGTTAATATTTTTTTGTTTTTGTATTTGACTATAATAAAAATGAAAACATTTAAAATTTTTAAACGCGTTTTAATTAAGAAGTGTTTAAAAATAACATAATTCCCAAAGTTTTTGAAAAAAATTTTATTCTAATAAGTTTTTAAATTTCAAAATTAACATAAAAGTCGTTTTGAATTAAATCAGGAAGTTTGTTATCGGATTTAGAATAAATCCGATAACAAAAAAATTAAATTAAACTTAATTATGTAAATGTATTTGTTTTAGAAATTATTACTCGGAGAAATTTGCAAAAAAAAAAAAAAAATTTTCTTAAAAATTTATTAGCAACAAGGAATTATTTTATTTTCTATTTATTGACAATAATTTTAGCAATTGATTACTTTTAAAAAGCAATCATTAAAATTTTCTTATAACACTGTTTTTTTAATTTAATTAATAATTTTTTTATTTATATACAAATACCATCGAACATACTAGACGATATTTCGTCTCACTTAATGCGTAAGGGTCTTCCCAACGTTCACGAGAAAAAAAATTGACGAGTTATCGTCTACGACCATACCTATACAAAGAACACCTAACGGTCTTATGACAGAGCACCGCGAAGTTGCACTTAACTAGGAAGTTTACGCCTTTATTACCAATGTCGTTTATTGGGCTGGAAAAGAGAAAAACTCCCAGTTAAATAAAAGAGTTGGCTTAAAATTA